AGCAAACCGTACTCCACTCCTGATTAGCATGAACACTCAGGTGACAACAATTCTGGTATTTCAATATATTTCATGAATGACGTGGTTCTTATTAAATGAGACTTCAAAATGGTTAGATTTCATTTCAATACAATCTTTTTACTGATGTCTTTATATATTTATATAATATATTTTGAATTACTTTCTAGATGTTCATGGCTATGCTGGGAATTTATATCCTCGTAGTTGATTTGTCTCTTAAACTTGATGATGTAGTTCCCCATGATCTTGGTGGGAAAAAGAAGACTTTGAGAGGTACGAATTTAGGTATTTACTAATCATTGTCTGTGGTGAGAAAAAATTGGCATTCAAAGTGTATTAGTATGTGTAGGTATGCATCGGTTTGACAACCTGATAAAATGTAGCATGACCATTCTGAATGAATTAAACTTACGTTAACAAATGAGTTCAGAACCGGTCACTTGTAGCATAGTGGTTGTCGTATCAGACTCATGATCGGTAGACCCAAGTTCAAATCCTACCTCAGGCTGAACATCAAAGGGTCAATCCCTACCCTGGGTGAGTGTGCTACAGACTCATTGGGAAGGCCAATTCCACTGACCAAGATTCATTCACTAACGAATGCGACTTTGGGGGAACTTTGGTTAAAGATCGCAGATGCTCGTGTTCGACCGAGCTTAGCTGGCGCCAGGATAGCCATTTGATAGAGAACATGAATATGACTTCTGTGGCAAAATGCACTATATGTCAGCACTAGTACCTGCACTAACAAAAAAAGAGTTCAGAGTTTGTAATTTAGTACTCCATTGATCTCAGTTCCTGTGATGCCTTAAGAGTTTGAGTACAGTATAGCCATACTCCATGACTTTGGAGCTAGCAGATACTCACAAAACAGTTGGTTGTGATTAAGTGGTGTCAATGTGATGGCAAAAGTTCTCGATGCCACCTCTGTTCCAAGGCTGGTTTCTGTGATGGGCATACAGGGCTCACAAAACAAGTTTCATACATTTTTGCTTGGAACCCATACCACATGTGAACAACTGGTATGGGATCTGTGCACAACTGTATAGAATCTATGGCAGAAATGAACTCCAGAATGGACTTCATGCTGGAACCAGATATGAATACTGGTACATACTCCATGAATGCATGCAATGTGTTCAAAACAACATTTGTGGTATTTACATGAATTAACACAGAATTGTGGGATTCACTGTCAATAAGTCAGGGACGAGACTGCTTGTGCAAGCATGCCTTTTATTAACAGTGTTTGACTGACCTGATTACAGGCCTGACCATCAGATTTGCTCGGTATACACTCAGTTGAAGAGTCAGAACTCTATCAACTTGTTGTTGACAGATTGGCAAAGTGACCTACATAGATCAAAACTTGCTTTTAAAATAGCACATGTTCAAGTGAACAATAAACTTTTTTTATATGAGTGTAATTTGTATGCATGTCTATCAAATATTATGCATATTTTGGATGAAATAACTTGTTCATAAATATTTAATACATGTATATTGTTAATAATTGAGATTTCTAAGGGGGACTACACATATCTAGTGTGAATATTTCATATTAACAGAATAAAAACTCTTAGAACCATTCAGCGATGAACCTCTCACCAACTGATAAACCAAAATGGAAACAATGCACCTCATTGTTTATGTGTTTCAAATATTTCACACATATTTTACTTTCTAAATATAAGGAAGCAAAAAAGTAATATTTTTATTATTATTTTTATGGAACTGCACGTCTTTGTTACTTGTCTTTCCCTGTTTTTTCTTATCAAAATTAACTGTATTATTTCTTGTCCTGGTATATGCTTCATAATTACACACGGACATAACATGCATGATGTTGGTTAATTTAGTATTAATTATTTTCTGTGACATTTGTAACCTTAAATTCATCAACTTATTAGCTTCAATCACATATTTATAAATTGTTGTATTTCTCAGAGTATACTCATGGATGGATGAATTCAATACATTCACATACAACTAAAGTTGGCCAAGATCAGAAAAGCATAAAAAAAAATGTCATTGTTATTGGAACAAAGATTGATAAAATATCAAAGGTAATGTCTATTATCTGTTATTTAAAATGATTTCTTGCACAATTTTCTTATCATATGTAGAAACTTTGTTTTGGCGAGTGATTTACAGTACCGGTACATACCGTCCCTGCTTGACTAACAGTCCAAATCCTTTTAGGTAATTTAGTGTTCATGTTTTGTTAAGCACCCATCACTTCCAAAATACTCCAAATTTCACTGTCATAAAAACTGGTTTTTGGCTATTGTTTCACTTTTCTGATTACCGGCATTCAAACTTATATAATACAGTGTGGATATTGACCACCATGAATATCTTTTGAATACATAGACCATGGTAACTGTTCATAAACCTACACGTCAACAGTGACTGTTACAGCCACGAACCATGGTAAATACTTCATTCCATTTTTTGTTCACCTTTAATACAAGAAATGACAATTACCAGTTTTTAAGAAGAATTTGTGCCATTTTTGTGTCGAAAATAAATCACTTTCACATTATGTTACCAGAATGCCCTTTGGAATTCCTAAAAAGTTTCTTGCAACAAGAATTTTGGCAAAATCAAGCACAGTCAAAGAAGACATACTAGCACTTGGTAAACACAGATTGTTTTTTGCCCAATTTGTTTAGTGGTGTGCTTGACTAAGTACCCCCATGTCCACAATGAGACCTACAGCATCAATTCATTGCCAAATCTAAGGTGTACTTCTGCATTTTTGTATAATCACATGAGTACGTCATCTACTCTGATTTAATACTACTCTTTTATTCTTCTTTATGTTTGTGAACATATCTCTTGTAAGTAACAAATAGAAGA